GATTCTTGTCATAAAAAATTTCAAAGATAGATCACATAGAGCTTAGCAATCAACTCGAGAGATACATCTCTTATGTAGCTACACGTCATTACTTTTCTGAAAATGAATGGATCGATCTATGTTATCCAGGTTATCATGAAGCCACACCCATACTCGACACGTATTTAACACATTCTCGTACCCTAACTTCATGGACACTCCTTGAATTTATGCATACATTTATTATGACATGCATTGTTATCGAGGCGTGTGCCCCGGGCACGGGGCGCTACGGGCAGGGGCAATTGCGCCCCGCACCAGAGGCGGGGCGCTGCACGCACACGAGGCGCGCACAACCGCCTCGTGTGCGTCTCGCACGCACTTGACACCTGCATCATGTAATAGACTATTTCTTCTGTTTTTTTAAATAATTTACATATTACATATTTACATCATGTAATAGACTCTTTCTTGCTAGTTGCTAATCCATTCTCCATCTTTTCATGTTTAACTTATAAAAAGAAAATAATAATTAGTAATTTAGTATACTTATTTGCTAATTGTAACTTCCTTCTCTAATTAGCATGCTAACTAGAAAATTATGAACATGTAAATATATAATTATTACCTTCATTCTCCATCTTTTCATGCTAACTAGCAAATAGCAATTAAGAATGCTAACTAGAAAATTATGAATAATTATGTTTTTTAATCACTTAATTGTTACTTAAAAATACATATATCACATTTTAAATAAAAATACATATTTCTTATTTGTTACTTGCTTGTTTTGTTTCATAGACTTTTGCTTATGTTAGAGATTATCTTGCATTGTGATTTATAAAAACTTATGAACTTCTCTATGTTATGCATGCTAATTAAGACACTTTCGTGATTTAGTCGGTGAAATTATATTTCTTGGTATTTTATGTGATAATTTATAAACATGTTGCTTATATGCTTCTTTGTCTTATGTTGAAAAATATTAGTTTCAGTTGTGCGTCTCAATTCATTGAGGCGCGTGCATCGTTGTGCGCCTTACGCATGGTGCGTGTAAGAGGCCTTTGCGCCCTGTATTGCGCCTTGCGCCTCGATAACAATGATGACATGTACTCAACTATATGATATATATGTTTTAGTTTAAAATACTTGTCAAACACTTCTTGGATATATAACTTACACTTCACATTCATTTCCTAATACTAGTCAGATGTGGGTCGGGTTTGTTTCAGCCCATACCTAAGCTAAAAACTATTAAAGGGTTGTTTGGGACCTTTGGGTTTCTAGTATGAGCAATTTCTAATTTATAATAATCAATTTAATAAAAGAAACTTAAAAATGTGATAGGAATTATAATTCTAATGACACATGAAGTAGGAAACAATAATGATCTTATGCAAATTATTAATTTCAATATATATGTAGTTGTATCCCCGTACCCGCATTCGGAATCAGTGTTATCGAGGCGTAAGGCGCAATGCGGGGCGCAATGGCCCCTTACGCGCATCATGCGCAAAGCGCACAACGATGCGCACGCCTCATTGAATTAAGCCACAACTCAAACTAATATTTTCCAACATAAGACAAATAAGCATATAAGCAACAAGTTTATAAATTATCACATAAAAAGACTAAGAAATATAATTTCACCTACTAAATCACGAAAGAGTCTTAATTAGCATGCATAACATAGAGAAGTTCATAAGTTTTCACAAATCACAATGCAAGATAATCTCCAACATAAGCAAAAATCTATGAAACAAAACAAACAAGTAACAAATAAAAAATATGTATTTTTATTTAAAATATGATATATGTATTTTTAAGTAACAATTAAGTGATTAACAAACATGACTATTCATAATTTTCTAGTTAGCATTCTTAATTGCTATTTGCTAGTTAGCATGAAAAGATGAAGAATGAAGGTAACAATTACATATTTACATGTTCATAATGTTCTAGTTAGCATGCTAATTAGAGAAGAAAGTTACAATTAGCAAACAAGTATACTAAATTACTAATTATTGTTTCTTTTTATAGGTTAAACATGAAAAGATGAAGTATGGATTAGCAACTAGCAAGAAAGAGTCTATTACATGATGTAAATATGTAATATGTAAATTATTTAAAAAACAGAAGAAAGTCTATTACATGATGCAGGTGTCAAACGCGTGCTAGTCGCACACGAAACGCACGCGAGGCGCACACGAGGCGCACGCGAGGCACGCGCCTCATGTGCGTGCAGCGTCCCGCCTCTGGTGCGGGGCGTAATTGTCCCAGCTCGTAGCGCCCCGCGCTTGGGACGCACGCCTCGATAACAATGTTCAGACTAGTACTCATACCCGTTTCATGCAACTTAGGGATTGATAAACTTGCTAAGAACTTGGCTGAATGAAAGATGGTTGGTGTACAAATTGGCGAAGTTGGGCTAATCTTGCCTAATGCAACAAGTGTTGAAAGAGTATTTTTGATAATGAAAATTATTAATAATGACCATTGAAACCCTATGGGGGATGAGTATATAAATGATTATTTGCCGTCTTACACTACAAAAAATGGGTTTTTTTCCTGGAAACCGCTTTAATTTAGGATAATTATACACAAACAACCTTTCATTTTTAATTTATGTAGAAACCACCTACAATTTGTGTTTTATTCTAATTAATCACTTGGACCTCCATATTTATCATTAAACCCAATTCTACCCTTATAAACTTACTCGTTTTGCACGTGCCTCCTACCCTTAACCCAACCCTTAATTGTTGACCCATTAACCAAATCACACCCTAAACCCCTAACCAACCTAACCCTAAACTAAACCCAAGTCTTAACTGAACCCATACCTACATAACCTTAAAATTAAAAAGGAAAAAAAACTGCATGAGGGGAGGTTGAAGAAGATGCTATGATCCTGAACACCGCCTCCAAAAATTCCCCCCCCCCCCTCCATTTTCTTATTCTATTAGCAGAAAAGTTGTCTGTTAGAATGTCCCAAACCCACATTTGCATTCCACCTCAGATTCCTCATATGTAAAGGAAGAAGAAGCAACAACAACTTCATGAGAAAGAAAGTCCATGTCCATCTTCTTCAATCCATAGTAAAAATCAAAAATTTGTTGTGATTTCTTCTTCTTTACAAGAAATTTAAAGGATTTAGGGTTGAGTACTTGGGGTTGGGGTGGGCTTAAGAGAGAGAGAGAGAGAGGGGGGGGTATGGGACTTATTAGATTTTCTTTTTTATTTATTTCATTTGTTTTGTTTTAGTTAGGTAGGGTCCAACGGTTAAGGGTCTGGATAAAGGTGGGTTGGATAACGATGGGTTAGAGTGAGAGGCATGTGCAAAACATAAGTTTTGTAAGGGTATAAATGGGTTTAATGACAAATATGTGGGTCCAGGTGGTTAATTATAATGAAAATGCAAATTATAGGTGGTTTCTATATAAATTAGAAATGAAAGTTGATTTGTGTATAATTGCCCTAAATTAAATGTGGTTTAAGGGGGGGAACCCACAAAAAATATATATTTTGTACATTGGTGAGGAAGATGTCATGAAACGGTATCAATAGGGAAAAAGAATGGTATTATAAACACTACATTCTAATAGGAAATACGATTTGACAATCTTATTATGTAATGATGTTTAGATACTAATTAATTGGGGAAAATCTTTATGTTGTGGAGTTTAATTATTTTTTGGATCCCCTTGCTAAAATTCATGGCTCCGCCGCCGGCGACCTCCTCCTCCTTCCTCCTTTTCAAGCTCACACTAAAACCACATGGCCTCCCCCTTCCTCCTCAAGCTCAAACAAGAAACATCATGGCAACCTCCTCCTCAAACTCAAACCGAAATGCCATGACCACCTCCTTCTATTCAAACTAAATCCCTGAACGTTTCCATTTGAGCTCTCAATCAAAAGCCCACTTTTATTGTCATCACTGAAAGGGATAAAGGATATTGTAGAGTTAATCAAAATCTGGTGGGGTAAAGGGGAAAAGTAATGGAAAAGGAATCTAGGGGCCAAGCTTAAGGTTTTTGGACTTAGTGGGAAGCAGACTTTTTTAACAGGGGTGGAGGCAATTTTCCCTTAAGGGGTTGTTTGGTTCGTTTCCTTGATATAGAGAAATGCAATTCCATGTAAAGAAACACAAGTTTTCGTTTCCTTGATATAGAGAAATGCAATTCCATGTAAAGAAACACAAGTTTTGAGTTTTTTAAACTTTTCCAAGAAATAGATTGTTTTGCTTTGGGTTTTTTAAACTTTTCCAAGAAATAGATTGTTTTGCTTTGGTTCGCACATAAAAAATGGTGGGAAACCATTGTATTTACTTTTCTTGTGTTTGGTTCGCATAGAAAAAAAAGGAAAACTTTTGTAAACAAAACAGAGAAGGAAAAAAATCTGACGTGGCAGAGTTTTCATCAATTTCACTTGGTTGGGGAAGGAAATCGGAGAGGGAAAAAAATCTTAGTTGGCGGCGATTTCAGCAGGGTTTTCCCTCTTCCATTCGAGCGAACCAAAGCGGCACAAAGAAATGGACGGAAACAAAAAAGCTGACGTGGAGGGCTAAAAATCTGACGTGGAGGGGTTTTCTGAGTTTTCCACCTCTTATAATAGCGAACCAAACAGCCCCTAAAAGAACTCGTGTATTATTACTAAAATCTTTTTTGTAGTCTGACAGAAACAAATTTGAAAGAAAGGTTTACAATTTGAAGTGAACCAAATAACATCTAAGTCGCCTGTTAAAGCCTTGCAACATCACCAAAGAAAACTATAAGAAAGAATTAATCACTAAATAAGAATTAATGATTAAATATTTCTAAGTTCTAAAGTCCATGGCACAATATGTAAGCTATAGATGGCATAACCATAATCAACACAAATGGTATAACTAAAGATTTAACAAAAAGTAGCTTGCACGTAGACCAATAAAGCTGGGTAAAGAATAGCTTTTATCTCATTCTATGAAACATAATTAACAAAGGGAATGGCTAAATGAAAGATAAATATATAAAAAACTTTACTTGAGAAGAAACTGATGGGACAGTTGAAGCCTGTGGTGTTGACCACTTGGGAAGAGAACCATCAAATATGTAAGAGCATTCAGTATATGCTGTTCCAATCCCTAAACCAGTACCAAAAGCTACAGATGCCCATCGAGTTGTGGGACTCCCTAGTGAACAGAAAGAGAATCACATATATTAGTTAGTTCAAAAAAATGGTTGCAGGAATCAATAACAAAGGAGAAATACAACTGAATGATAATGTTCAAAAATCTAAGTAGACATTTCAAACCAAATTTAGGTAAAGGTCAAGTTACCAAATAAATGGTTATGCTCAGTTATCAACTCCATTAAGTATTACTACCTTTTTTTCACACCCAAAAATAAAAACTATTACTACCTAATAGATGTGGAGAAGGTTGACGCTTCTTCAACAAACGCTAGCATGTAACATATGCTTGTGAGAATGACATATGGGATAGTAGCAGGGCAAAGCGCAGGTTAACAAAGAGAAGAGTTAAATCATTGTAGAGTGGTACTTTACAGTTTCTAGATTTGGCTTTATCAAGAATATCTACATAAAACAATCTGCTAAATTAATCTTTAAAGAAATTATTTGCCACACTTGTGAATTTAATTTCTCAACTAACAGGTTAAGCTAATACATGGAGTAATTCATCTAACAATCTAAAAGGTAATCGATAGACACGGACCATATAAAAGCAAGCTAAAGGCATGATTTTAACCTCTGAGAACCTGAAGCACACTGGTATAGAAGATTAAGTAAAAAAGAGGTAGTAACTACCTAAACGTTAATTATGTAAAAAAATATTATAAAATGTTCATACAACGTGCTCGCCTGACATAAGCATATAGGAAAGATTGCTACATTAAGCGAACAAAGTGTTGGCGGATGGACCAGGCTGTGCCCCTAAAAAAAATATACATGTACTATCAAAGACTATATCATGGATTAAAAATAGAAAAACATGCTAATGAGACCATGGAAACTAGGAGGTTTCCTACTCTTCATACTCATACATAATATAGATAAATTATGGGAATTGAAAATTGATACGCTAAAATTAGAACCCGTGAAGAATTTGCAGTCACATTTTTACTACATTGTCATAGTTGTTTACAAATCACATTGTGACTAGACAATGTTTTAAAAAGCTCTCGCCTAGCCCGCCTAAGCCTAGGGAGTACCCAAGCTATCTAGGCTAGGCCTTGAGAGTGCCTAGGGGAGCGGAGACCATTTACGCATACTGCACTACAAGGCCTTGGTCGTGATTTCTTCTGTTGTCGCTTCCATCGCTTCCATGTCTTCTAACCTCCTCCGAACTCCGGCCTCCTCCATCGACTACAGACACCTCCTCCTCCATTGACTACAGACACCTCCTCCAACTCCTCCAAGGTTCAACAAAACCTCCTCCATAACCACTTACATAAAACCAAAAAAAAAACTCCTATGCCTCTTAGCACTTTTGATTATATTGAAAACACCTAGGCCGGGGCCTAGGCGCTAGGCTCTTGGAGACGGTCTGACGCCTAGGCCGCCTAGCGCTTTCTATGACCTTGCAACCAGACTTTAAGAGGATTTCGATCCACAATAAACCATATTATCTTTCTAAGTATTGGCTTTTTCAAATGGCACGTAGAATTAGCTGTTATTCTAGGATATAACACCAATAAATTTAGCGGAAAATAAGGCAGATGAATTCCCCTAAGTGATGCCCTCAAGCGTAAAATCTTTTTATTGAAAAAGAAAGCAGAAAAGAAAGAACCAATCCTTAAATCCCCTTATAAACCCACATCAAACGAGCTAAATATCCGATGCGGGACTAAATGGACCCTAGTTCTACATCGTTTTTTAGCATCTAGGGTTCACTTTGATCAAGAATGTTACAAAAATGAATTATTTTATTCCTTATTTCACAGAATAGGAGGTCGGATTGTTCCCTTCGTGATGTCATAGCAAAACCCTAAGTCATGCTCTCCAGGATACGATCTTTTAGACAAAATCCAAATCAGCTTCCAACATTGTTTATGAGTCCGCTTGAACCCGAATCTAACAAAAATAAGCAGTAAAAAAGAAGGATAAATTAGGGTTTCAAGGAGTAGAAGTAGGGATTTTGAGTGAAATTTACGAAAGAGGAGGAGGCCGCCGAGGGCGCCGGCGAGAGAAGAGTAGACAACGCGGCGGATGCCGAGATCAAGACACGCGTCCCATTTCGCATCCAGGCCGACGGCGGAGGGCGGCCGCTCTTTCTTTTCTTCCGCCATTAGAGAGTACTTGATTGAGAGAGAATTGGGGAGTTTGCTTCTTTTGGACTTTGCCCTCTGATTCTTTTCTTACTGGGGTTTTTGATATTAGTCCCTTTAACTATTACTAGTTTTATATTACGCCTCCAAATCTTCACATCTTGTATTACTCCCCCCAAATTGCATAAATATGCTGATATTATTAGCGTTTGTGATTAGTTAGGGTTATAAATGCTAGAATTTTTTTATAAAACTAGTATAATGCACGTGTTTTGCACGTGAGCGTATATATTTTAAATTTTAAATTTTTTTATTGAATAGTAAAACGATGCGTTAATAAATAAAATTGCATCATAATATTGCTCAAAAAGAAATGTATGAATTAATTATTATTGTGTAATTATTATAGTTGAATGTTTTTCTTATAATAATCACTCGGTGCTAACCTTCTTTAAATAAGTCTCCAAAATCTAAAATTATTCTTAAATAAAATTGTTAATTCTATAAGTTCTCTTAAATATGTTCCTCAAACTTGAAAGTTATAGTAATCTTGCTAGCTTTTTCCTGATGTTCCCTAGATAATTACATTTAATACCTATAATATATTGCAACAGTTACTTCTTATTATAATTATTTAATAGGTTAAATTACACCCAACCCTTATGAACTTTCAGACCCTATGAATTTTCAAAATGACACTAAATCTCTAATGACTTTGTTTCCAAGGAAACCCCCAATAATGTTCTAAATTTTACAAATAAACCCTATAAATTAGAACCAAAAAGTAGCACAAAAAAGTATTTTGAAATTTATTAGGGGGTTTAGTGTAATTTATCTAAAAGTTATTTGGAGCTTTCTACACAAGTTATTAGAGTTTTTGTGTGATTTTGAAAGTTCATAGGGTTTATTTACTGTAATATATTAAAAGTTTATGGGGGTTTACTGTAATTTTCCTTATTTAATATTATAATTCTTAGTTTAAGTAATACTATTAGAATCATTATATACTATAAAATATTTATCTAATTTAATTTTTTAATTAGGCTCTTAAATAATTTAGTACTATAAATATCTTATAAATTTTCATTATACTATCTGTTATGGTGCTTCGAACACTAAGAATTAATCTCCAATCAGTAGCAGACAAATGTCCCACATTAGATGTATAATCTAATCAGTTATCTACCTCGAGACAATCTAAGTGCCTCATTCGGACGGCTCGACGGGTTGACATCCCTTTAGCCAGCTCGAAAGGTGGTACGTGTCGACCTCCTTGCTAGGTCAAATTGGCAAGCGACCCACTCGACCAGCTCCTCAACCGACATCTCGCAAAGATGACTCGAAAGATGGTATCTCCCGTCACTTGACCAGACGAGCAGAAAGACGACAAATACCTCGAACCCTTCGCTGACAGGTTGTCCCCATCACATTAAATAAATGTTCAGGCGCCATCATTTCTCCATCCTCGAAAATCTTTAAGACACATCGCTGCGTGCATCCAATCACATCACATTAAATGAGGAAGTGATCTCCTCCACTCCATTACTGACACCTGTAAAGCCTATGCTGACTCAGCCACAAGCCCATACTCGGCCAGAGTTACCAAATTACCCCCACAACCTTTTCTATAAATAAGGGAACTATTCTTTGTATCAAGGTAAGCAATTTCTCTGTAACTTTAGCCTACTCACTGTATATTAGAACTTTCACATTTCATTTTACTTCTCCACTCAAGCAAACCATTGACTTGACCGTCGGAGGAACAACGGGGGAAACAAACCCCACCCTCTTACGCGTTTCTACGTTGTATTGGATAGTACAACTCAAAGTCAAATTTGGACATTTGGAAGGGAGAACGGACCCTAATTACTCCTAACTCAACTATTTAACTGTGTGATTCTTACCATCAACAGTTTGGTGCCCACCATGGGGCCTCTTCTCTTATCCATGCAATCATGTCTGGTTCTAAGCATAAGGTTGATCAATCCATCCTTGAATGACCCTACACAGTCCTTGAAGAGTTGCGCCCAGGCATGTATCGACTAAGAAGCCCTGATGGAAGGATCATGTAGCATCCTTGGAATATCGAGCCCCTTAAAAAACATTTTCAACAATTTGTATGGGGATTTATTTCATCTTTTTGAATCCTACTTCTGATATTGTATTTTGGTAGCACAATCTCTATAGGTATCAAAAGACATTGGCGCCCTCATTAAGCCCAAGGCACTCAGCAAAAGCCATTTGCACCATAAGATCAAGGCACTCCGATCTTTTGGTCGACTCCAACCTCAGGAAGCGAGTGGAATATACGTAAAGAGGCGTTTAGAGACCTTGGTTCGGCCCTTTCTTTAAAATTATTCCCCTTCGTCAGTTTAGTAAAGGGTGAGGAGATTTAATTGGCTCGACAAAGAAGGAGAGGAGCTACTAAAACAAAACTAAACAAGACAGTCAATCCCTCTTCAACAGATAGGGAATCGTTGATGATCCTCTTTAGCCTATATAATATTGGACCATGGGGCTTCGGGTTTAACTCATTTTAAAGGCCTCTCTCAACGGCCTCCTCTAGTTGCACTCTAGTTTTTCAGGTTCTAGCTCAACGCTGCTCTGGCTCCCAATAAGGATCGTAATAAGACATTGGCACCCTTATTAAGTCTAAGGCACTCAGCAAAAGCCCTTGGCACCATAAGACCAAAGCACTCTGATCTTTTGGTTGACTCCGACATCAAAAGACCTTGGCGCCCTCATTAAGTCCAAGGAAACTGTTGCCTAGGCTTCCTTGGTCAGGTTGATTGTTGGGGAGGAGGGGGGACCTAAAGCTGTCTCACGGCCGAGTCAACTTGAATCTGCCCAACGGCTCCACTGGACCCTTATCCTCTATCCAGTCTCCTCTTCTTTTCCAACTTCTTCTTTGTGACGGCCCCTAGTCCGACCAACCTAGCTGCGACATCTGCTACCCTTGACCGCAAGCTCTTCAGTTCCTCCTGCCTTGTCGATCTCGGCAGGGAATACCTTAGACACACCGTCCAACCGAAGCAAAGATGTCTCAAAGAGATTACTCATCTCCCAACACCTGGCATAGGAGCGGACCTTCTCAAGTTGCCACCTCTCTTCAGCCAAGAGTATTTATGGCCTTTGCACATCCTTCTTAATCTCAGGCTAAGTAGGGCAAGACAGGATGGCGTCGGCGCTAAAACCCATACAAATCGCTCCTTCCAATCCCCATTAGATTCTGAGGTATCCGACACCAGCTTGCAGCCGCCAGTGTAATAGAAGAAATAATAGGCATCTTTCTTCATCGTCTTGATGCCCATAAGGTTGCCGAACACACGCATATTTGGTTCCTATCGATCCGTTGGTAGACCACTAGGAACCCCACCAATATAGCGATGGCGTTAGGCGTGAATTGCGAAGGGAAGACTCCCAAAGCACTACATACCTCTCTAATGAAAGGATGAAGTGACAACTGAAGACCGTATTCCAGATAGGCCAGGTATGGTGGCGATGTGTCTTGTCATAGTGGTACACCGTTTCACTATCGCTAGGCACCAATAAAGTGAAGGGTTTGGGGATATCATAAAGCTCGTAGTAGACTTCGAGCTCCTAGACAGATATCTTCGAGGGAAAATAGGTGGGAGAAGATCGATCCTCACCTCCTTGCGGCTAGGGGTAGAGGTTTGAGCATCTATGGAAGGTCACTAAAAATCGATGCAAAGTAGCCGAAAAATGAGAACTTGAACTTAGGAAAGCAGCGAGCTTTTGGGCAAAAATTCTTGAAGAAAAGCCCTTTGCACAACAAAGAAATATATAGACACCAAGGGTAGCACGTGGAGAAATCATAACGGCCACCCTTGTTCAAAATAAGTAGATGAGATCAATATTAAAATCTGAATGGGCATCATGAAAAACGAGGTGCTACAATCACAGGTTAGAAGCCTTAGAAATTAAGGAACAAGCTCCAGCTCAAATCAATCAAGTTTCTACCTCAGGTTGTCATAATTGTCTTTCTCTAACTCATGTTTTAGAAAAATGTCCCCTCTTAGAAAATAATCAACCATTAAGTCAGGTAAACGTTGCCTTCTCGCGTCCCGTAAATGACCCACTTTCTCCATCCTACAATTCAAGCTGGAGAAATCACCTAAATTTTGTATAGAACCAAGTAAGCTACTTTGGACATCAAAATTTTACTCACTGTAAGCGTCGGAGTGCCCGACGTGTATAGTTTGTAAAAAAATTCCAAAGTGGTGCTAGTATCCATCAAAGAAGCAATAATATTTGAGTAGGCTAATCTCTTCTTGACCAAGCCGTAACACCAATCTCAAGAAGAGTAGAGCAATCTCTAAATATTTACTCCTTAAATATTAGTATCATCTTGTTTGTAAAAAAAAAAATTAAGAGGTGCATGCTTCCAGAAATTTATTTCTTTTTGTTAATTACTCTTGTTAAAAAAACCCTTGATTAGTAGAAAGCAAAGAATTAAATAGACGTTAGAAATTAAATGAAGAAAGATATTGATTTTATTGTCTTTCTAATGTATTACAAAACTGAAGAGAAAGAAAATGGGATCTTAGGTCTCCAGACAATATTCTGGAGCCCTCCTCCCTTTCAAAAATAAAAATGTAGAGGACTTTGTCGTTATTATTTCAAATTCTAAGTCTATCCTTCTTTTCAATCTTTCCGTATTTTTTCTGTCATTCCTTTTTTTTTTGTTCCTCTCGTCTCGAATGGCAAATGAGGTCTTAATTTATATCAAAAACCAAGGGGAAGTTATCGCCAGGTGTTTAAAATGGATTGGTGGGAGAGTTATTGTAACTTCCTCATCGAAACTTCCTTATCAAGATTGTTGCGTTCATTTATCATAATGAACATCTTCTTTGCTTTTCATTTCTCAAGTGTCTATCTGCTTATCTTTCATGTTTCTAAAATAAGTGTAAACGGAGAGCCATTATCCCTTTAAGTTGAAATAAGGTTCGTATGAGGGTGAGTATCCTCGAGTTAGATTTTATAGCTAAGGCTTATGATCATATGACTTTTAAATTTACATGAGGTGCTGTCATCCTCAACTTAATTTTCATTTATACGAGGTATTACACCTCATATTGAT